AACCCTGGAGGCGCACCACACATAAATGATTAGTAACGAGGATCCAAACGATATGAGGACTGAGCTCTGTTACTAGTATACGATACTTATCCCGCGCTGACCAACGGAACGGGATTCACCAGACCATTCAATTATCCCTACCTAACTCAAATGATTCAACACATGCAAAAAGACACTGGCAAGGATCACGGACAGTCTGATCAGAAGAGGTTCATGTGAGAGCAGGAAAATGTCAGCGGGGTACCGCAAAGACAAATGCTAGAATCCATCTCATTGTTTTTACGCGTACCGATCAGGGCTGCAACTTGTTGGTTTAGTGGCTGTCAACGGCATCGTTTGGACCCAATGGTCCGGGGTTCCAACCTCACTAAAACCGCCCACCTTTGGTGGTAGGCAGTTTCAGTGTCATGGGGTTTGATATTACGCCCGAACTAGCTTTGCCTAACCAAGTCTCGAGGCCCAAGTTGCTGAACGACAGGCCTTGGTGAGTATCGAGTCTGCCCCGTCTGCTGTCACTGTGATAATCAGAAGCCGTATGAGATAACCTCAACGGATAAACGAAAATGACAAGTTTCCAAGTAAAACTACTGCTGAATAACCATACGCACTGGTTTACACATCTTATTCCAGCACCGTATTTCCAAGCTGACGCTGGTTCATACTAAGCCTAAAACGAGCTGCAACGATTTAACCGACCCTTCCTGTGGTTTGTTGTTTTATTAAATCTGGTCATCGATATGGTGAACCCGAAACTACTTGTATTACGAAACTTCAGGTTATATGACAACAGCGGATTAAATGTAAGGTGGAAGCGATCGCTCGAAATATAATCAAGGGACTAATTGATCATTGTACATGTAACCCCGTGATGAATGTTATCAAGCAACAGCTATATCGATTCATAATCAATTTATTATAGAAATTGAGTACAAGTTATGGTTCTCCGTGAACAGTTTCTTCGGTGCATATTCATACCAATTTCCGTTGGCCGGAATACGGAATTGAATTCAGCACAAAACATCAAAAAACAGTGATTACTTTATGGTACATCAAAGGATACATTCCACCATATTGATCCGAACGAGTAGCTGAACACTAAGCAAAAACAGCCACCAGACCACGAAGTAGCGACCGTTAAGACGTTCGTCATACACCTGAATACAAATCTTATGATTTTCAATCAAACGCTTCATCAATAATTTACGATTACTACGTGGCTGACAGATCACAGCCACAAAGATTTGTCGTTGTGATCAACTCTGAATTCGCTAGCAAAGTGCATGGGTGTCCAGAAACATTTTTAGTGAATGGGGAGGAAGGATAGTCAGTCAATTTTTCTCCTACACCATTTCTTTAATACAACTGTCAAAAACCTTAAGAATCATTTACTTTGCTGCATTGCTTTTAATAGCGGGTGGAAATCAGAACCTCCACCACAAAATTGCAAATCACAACCAGGGGGACAAAATCAGAACGCTGAAACTTGAATTCAACTTGTTGCTTCTAAGCAAAAGTGTGATGCTTTACAGTGTCAGGCTTTAACCTGCGTATCAAGTTGGCTGTAATGTGAAAATCTTCCCAAGGCACTCGGAAGCACGGCAACTGACTGTATCGCAGTGAAGCGAACTGGCAATGTAGTGTCAAACAAACCCCAACCAGTGACAACCGAAAGACTTACCCCTAACAAAACACCTACCTTGCAGCCAAAATCCTCACAGGCGTGTAAGCTGCTTCTAACACATGAACTAAGACGTTCACTGGAACTGGGGAAAAAGAAGAAATAATGAGGGATGCCAAGTAAATGGACGCACATGCAAAGTACATGTTGACGTACCAGCCGCGCATTGGTCCGTATTGATCTACACCCAATAACTTTATTGCTCACCTGTTTGATATCGAGATTTACTTGCATAAGCCGGTAGCGGTACACATCCAGCGGAAGCGTGCTGAATAAGACATGACCGAAAAGAACCTACCATTTATACTGCACGTCAATCTGATTTAGTGAATTTTTCCCGAACACACTTCAGAAAAGAAGAAAAACACGGAGAAGGGTTGTCAGCACAATCGCTTCAAATTCAATTGAAATGTACACGATCAAATAAATGTTATGTCCACAACTTTTCGATATAAGTCAACGACTGACTTGCGTCAAAATCGAAGAGGAGGCATGCCGGACCAGGGTGGCATTTGGGCTGATGGTGGCAACGGAGGTTGAGCAGTGGGCAACCCGAATGCTGGAATCAAGTAGAAAAGCTATTGAGCAATCCTGAGTACGATGACTTGATAGTCATTTAATTATTATATTATATTTTACACCCGCTGAGGCTAGACTGTGCCCAACAAATCATGGTATAATGTTCATCAAGAATAAAAACGTTCCACGATTAGCACTTTGGCCGAATACTCCCAGGTCGCCCAGGCCAAGACAGGGGAAGTTTCAGGGCTAGCCAAAGCCATTTAATAACCGATGACCTCATGCAACATGAAATACATCGAAGCTTTCAACGAGAGTATACAAAGCAAACAAAGTACTTACAAAATAAAAACTATGCACTGCTTGTTATTCGGTCAAACTAAGACAAAACCCATCACCGCCAAATTGCGAACACTTGATATAAACGGAACATTACCAATGGGACAAATGCAACTAGTCTAAACGAAGGTATCAACACTACACAACAGTTGCTGAACCAAAATTGATGGTTAATTTGGATACTAATCATCTGATTGACTGCACACCCTTACACTGTCTGATATGAAGTAGTTCACGCTTTAATATGCACAACCGATTTGGACAGGCGACGCAAGCCACTGTGGCCTGTCCGTTCATCAGTAGCTGGTAGCCTAAGCCGAGACGGGAGGTAGCCAACAAGGCCAGATATTCTTCGGATGGACTTGGACTAGAGTTAGACATCAAAACTTACGTATTTCCGCGCTGGCAGAATGTATGATCGAGTCGTCGTGCTAGGGTGTCAAATCCACTACATAGAATTGGAATGCTTCGCTGATTAGGACACGCAGTGCGAATGCCTAACACTCTAGTGCGCCGCACCCTGCATGCACTGTTCTAAGTTAGTGAACGTCAGGCGGCATGAGAAAATATACAAGACTGCCGCAAGGACTAAATGTCCCATTTACCAGGTTGAAATTCAGAAACGACAATAGTGGGATCCCTGTAATTTATAAAGTACAAACGCTTAAATAGGTGTGCGCGCTTTGTTGGACTGCGTACTATCAACCAGTATGGCCCTTTTTTATCCTTCAAAACAGGTCCACTTTCTAATCAACTCACATTGTTACTTACCCTGTACTGAGCTTGACAGTCATCCGGTTCACCATCATAATGGCATCAAACAGCCAATGTGGTCGGGTTTCGGACTGCGGCTGATCACACGTCGCAAAATGCTCCCATACTGTCAAGCGTCTCAAATAGCTTCCGTTATATAATCCCTATTTCCTGCCTTCTCGCGGTTTTCCCACCAAGCCAGAGGACAAAAAGCCTATACCCGAGGTTATTGGGTCGGTGAAGCACCAGCAGTCCACCTAGGGGAATTATATTTAAACCCTGATTCTATATTCACCATGAGGCGAAACAAACGCACCCACCCAGTGTTTTTTGTTTGCGGTATTGATCACTGGCTCGATCAGGTATCGAGATGTATGGGATACCTTGGAAGTTTGACTCCATGCGATCAATCGGACACCGGTCTCCAATGAACTGCGGTTTTCACACCGCCTCGACTAGCCGAATTCTCCGTATGTGAATTCTACTGCTTCGGCCTGGGCGAACAAGTAGCATCACGCTTTCGAGCAAATCATGGGCCTTTACTCTATGTATAAAGATTATCGTACTGTGATTTGTCTCGGATAGCACGAACTCAGGCATGTGAAATTTTAAATGTACACAGCAAAATACACTAGAGTAGATTGCCCTGATCTAGACCAAACTTACAGTGCATATTCATTTTGGCCTGAGGTACAGTCAAGGTGCCGCGCTACTAAAAAAGCCTGTTTACTCCTTTATTTATTAAATACACAAACCTACAGTTGACTTTCAGGGAGAGGGCCGCAGTCAAAGACTGTCGGGAAAATACAAAAATAAGGATGGGTAATGTTGGAGCGGGTCGAACCCGGGACTTCTGAATCATTATGATGGCAAATTGACCACCATCAACCGCGGGGTTAGTTACTCCTTATACCACGCAAAGGTTCGATCTCTGCTCGGATTAATTAGGTTGCCGGTTTCCATGATTCAACAGCTGGGCGTTGTCACTTCAAGGTTTACTCCGGCTGCTATTTATCGCTCGAATTTGTGCAATGAAAAACCTACTGTGCAACGAAGATAAATGGTAAACAGCGCTAACACAGAACACAAACACTGTCAAGAAGTGAGTTAAATTCTTTGGGTGACTAGAAACCGCACGAGTGTTGAAGTTTCAACAACGAACTGGGATCCTACGATCTAATTCCTCACTTGTTGACGAACCGCGCGAATCCCTGGCATGGGTGCGATATGGAACCACCTTACCGGCTATCGTTGATCGCACTCTGGGTATATAAAACACCAGTACATCTTCCACGGTAAAACGTGATAATTCTTTGGGTGACTAGAAACCGCACGAGTGTTGAAGTTTCAACAACGAACTGGGATCCTACGATCTAATTCCTCACTTGTTGACGAACCGCGCGAATCCCTGGCATGGGTGCGATATGGAACCACCTTACCGGCTATCGTTGATCGCACTCTGGGTATATAAAACACCAGTACATCTTCCACGGTAAAACGTGATAATGACGAAGCTTAGATTGTACCATGGTAGCGACAAGTTCCTGCTCAGACCTCGCTCATGGCTTGGCAATTAAGTTAAAGAAACTGCAGAGACGACAGCGGCGGATAAGAAGCAGGTAGAACTGGGGAATGTTATCAACGTGGCGTTATACACAAGAAGCCAATGGTTAACGTGGGACAAGTCCTTGGCGCAGTTTAGTAAATTTCTCTATACATGACAAGCGTCAACAAATATTAATCTCGCGCTCATCAAACTCAGAATATTGGTACAAGCATCATCAGTGGGTTCGAAATTTTTACCTTGAGGTGGAATAAAGCCAGGGGCGCAAGCCAACGGCATTTGGGGCACCAATGGATGGCCTACACCCGGGTACATCAAAGGGGCACCATGAGGCATTGCCATAGGTGCCATCAGGCCGGGAGCAACCGTCGGTGGAACCGCTGGTCTAGTGGGAGGCACCACTGATACCGGAGGAGGTGGAGGAGCACTCGCCGCTTCCAGAAGCTTTTTGTAACGCGGAGTCTCTGCCCGCAGCTCCTCCTGAGAAACAAAGCTCATTAGGAAAACCAAACACTTACCAGGGACAAATCATCGCTCGGATGAACTAACTCCACTGTAATTCCATTGACACCGGACGTGGGTTTAGGCACTTTGGGGATTTGTGCCTTAGTTGAGGTACTTGGAGATGAGTATGCCGGAAACGTAGGCTTGGGTGTTGCTGGAGACTAAAAAAGTTATCATGTGCAGAAAATCCTTACTTGGTCCGCTGGTGTTGAAGTAGGAAGAGGCGGTGGTGGTGCTGGAGCGCTAGGTGGAGGCGGTGGAGGCGGCGGCGGAACTATGGTTACCGGGCTGTTACGAAAATATCAAGGAAATGCAAAAATACTCACTTTAACGGAGGCGGTAGCGGTACACCCGAAACAACTGCGAATTGAGTGAGATTCAAAGCAGAACCGTACTTACCGCCAACCGGGGCGTATGGGTTGATAGGCGGTGCGATGCCCGGCAGGAAAGGAAGTGCAGGCGGCATAGGTGGAAAAAAGGAGGAGGACTCCTCCGTCTTGCTTATTTTTTCGGGTGGTTCCTCAACTATTCCAAGTCAAAATTAAGAATACCGCCTTACTTTCTATGCCAAGCTTTTGTCTTTCATGTTCGATTAAGTCCACTTCAGGAACTCCAACCATGCCGTAGATATCAATAACAGTGCTCGTACGATTCGGGAGCGCATTAGGGATCTTATCTAATTTCTCTTTATGAACCTGGACACATAAGTCATGGAAATCCAGTCTAACCTGATTGCAATGAATTGACAGTCCTGGACCGGTGAAAAGCTTTCGATGGCAAAAAGGGCATTTGAAATGCTTTGCCTTCTGATGCTGAATCAAAATCTTCTCGTCGTCAAATTCCCTGTTACAGTACCTAAGGAAAGTCAATTGTGGTGCAAAAACATACCAACACCACGGCTTAAGCTGCTTCCTTTTCTTGCGACCCATGTTGAAAACGAAACTGACAGCTCAATGGCCTTGAGTAGGATATTAAAACAAAAGAATGGCCTCAGTTCAGTTCAGGTCAGGTAACGTTGCACAGAACTGGGCGCACGTTACCATCCGGCACCCCCCCCCAGCTGTTTGCTTAATCTTGGGTCATTAGGGAAGCGGATGCTGTTAAATGGTTTAGATATTTTTTTAGATAATTTTAATATATAAAGCAATGTTTTCTTTGATGATACAAGAGAGTCGATTTTTACACGGGTTGT